AAAACTGTCTCATGAGAAATATAATCAAATAATTTATACACGGGTCTTTATCGAGTAGCCACTACCAAAAATACCAAAACTTTGTTTTACTGCGTATATATGGCGGAATTTCCAGAACTAATTTGGTTCAAGATGTAAATGTATTAAAATTCCCAAGAACTTGTCCTTCGAATTTTTTAGTCAAAGTCAAGCTATCAGCACGTTAAGGTTGTGGTCAATTCAGTGCGAAAAGGGAGTATTCAAAAAATATTTATTTTAATTTTGGTAATGTATTCTTAATTTATGATTAGAAAAGTTATTCTTCTTCTTGTTGAGTCGCCCTATTTGATATTAGAGTTTACTTATTTGCTGGTGAGCCACAGAGTTCACTTGCGGTATGAAATTTCGAATCCATGACTTTCTTCTACGATCTGGGTACCTTTTTTCTTCGATTTTTGCCTTGAATTATGTTTATTTGTATAAAAAAAGTATTTTACAACAATACAATATAAAAAGAATACAACAATTCTTTTCTTATCCGGGTTGTGGCTTTATATTTGTCGATATCTAAAATTATCTTATCTTTTTTATCCTATGGTGGCACCAAATTTTAAATTTTTAAATTTTTTGATGTCATTCTTTCGAACTCAACAAGGTACTAAGTACATACCAAGTGCTTTCCCTATCTCGACATTTTTGATCGTAAGGTGATATTTATATAGTATTTGAAGAGATTTTTCTTTATTTTCATGAAAGTAGCTGTCAATTTCGACCAGCTTTTTTATTACAATGTTTTCTTGTCCTGTTTCGTTTATATTATGTTCCCAAATACTCTTTCGATTGCTTTCGATATTGCTCTGAAAATAAAAAAGTTTTATTTATTGCCACAAAATTTACAAACTTATAATTATAAGGTATTATACCTGAAAATAACAAAGAAACAACAATTAAAGCTATTAATATGGTTAGATGGACGGCGTGTTATGCATTACTAGACCAAGCGCTAAGAATTTATTTTGAGATATTTGACTTCAAAGTTTTCACTCTTATTAAAATTCAGTATATGTTATAATAGTCGTAATTTTTTGTTTTCGAAGAGTTTTTTATGTTTTCTCTAAGTGTGTAATAGTAACTTGCTAATGTTGAAAAAAAAAAACGAAAAAAAAAATAAAAAAGCTTTTGGTCGACTTACGATTTGCGCCACATTGTGTAATTGTGTTATCCATCAATAGACCAAGCGACATGGAGGTCGTTTGGTCTAGTGATACGTAACTTAAATATCACTTTTAGTGAATGATTAGTAGGCCACAAGCTCTTTTTTCTCTTTTGGGTATGACAATAAAAGTCGTTGTTTTGAATGTAATTTATATTAATTAAGAAATTAATCAAAAATAAATAAAAACTTGAACTCAGTGCTTACAGTAGGTACAATTTTCTGAATATTATGAAAATAGTAAATAAACATTACTCATCTTGTATGCCACTCCATCAAACCCGTCAATGTCATCTTCTACTGTATTGTTACTGAAAAGGGAGCGATACAGAGGTTTTGCATCATTTGGTATTAGGTGCATTAAAGATCTTAAGTCGTTAATATTAGGCACAGAAAGTAGCTTGCCTGTTGGCTCAAATGGAATCAAGTGGTTTACTTAGGGATTGCATTGCGACGGACCGTCCTTTTTGAAGTTTCTTGTGAAGATCTACTTCAACTTCACTAGTGTTAAAATCAGTTTTCATAAAAATAGTCAGTGGTTTATCCTTTCTTTTTTCAATTTCTCTTGTTTTAAGCCAGCTTACCTTACTGTTTTCTATGTCTGATTTTCGGTTTGTAATCATAGTTTCCAACTTCTTTGTTCCAACGAATTCTTCTTTTTTATTCTGTGAACTACTAGTGGGTTCTTTTTACGGAATTTCTTCATATGTTTAGGTAATCATCAACGGTATATAAACGTTCAATATCCCCAAAATACTATCATTGGGTAAAAAACTATGACCAGGAAAGAGATAGCGTAACGTAATTTTTTCAATGGTAGGATGAGTTTCCAAATCATTTTCAGAATCAAAACTATTTGATGTTGCTGTTTTGCACCACAAGAGTCTGACCACAAAATTACATGTTTTGCAGAAGTAACATTTTCTTCAATGTGTTTGTTAAGACAACTGCCTACTTCCTGGGCTGCCCGACCAGATTCACCTTCTATCCAAACATAACAATGACCTTTGTTATCCTTGCCGCTATGGATACCAAGGTTGTAAATACATAATTGACGCTTATAATATACGATATTTGTTGGAAATGTCGGAAGGGGAAGTGTTTTTTTCTAAATCAAAACAAAAGGTTTTCATTTCTGGTTGATCGTTGCTCATCTTCATGTCTAGCTTTCTTCTAGACTGTGCATTTTCAGCTTATCAAGTGCACATTTTTTTCTTCCTTTAACTTGCTTAATTTTTCGTTATCTTTTATTCTATCAAACAATCACATCTACTACAGGTATCTTTTTTCAACTTTTTTCTTAAAGATTAATTCGTGTTAAAAATATTTTTTGTAAAACGAAAATTTAACAGGATCATTGTCTGCTTCTTCAATATACAATTCATACATTTTACTTAATGTTGTGTCTTCGGTTAGATATTCTTTTTCTGTGTTAGCTCTTCTGTAATGTGACTTGTACTTAGGGAATTTCGTTATGTGCTCAATTACTTTTTGTACACGATTATCGTTAATTTTATTATGACCTCCACTTTGACCACGACAATCTCGAACACCCATTGGATGTTTCATAGCTTTCAATGCTGCATTGACTTTGCAACTTGATATTATCAAGGTCTGTAAAAAGAAAGGTTTACACACTGTCACAGCGGATATTGTGTATATCCTTGTAGTATTTCTTTTGATACTGGTTTTTGTTCTTTTACGCTTTATTAGGACTTCGGAAATATTTGAACAAATTACAGCTCTCTGAGCATCATGAGATTCAACATTGTAAAACTTATCAAATTCTTTTTTGGTAATATCCACACCAATCTTGTCCAAACACTTACACTTACAAAGATACATAGGGAACTGTTTTGATTCTTTACATACATTTTTCTGTATGAAGTAACTCTGTTTTGAATACAACTTTTTTTTCATAATTCGCGACTTTGATTTAAGTACCTCGTATTCTTCCCTTTTTTTTGTCTTCCCATGGGCAAATAGTTTTTATCACTTCACTGTTTAATGCTATTTTCTTTCTTTTTATTCCTGCTGAGGAATAATGTTACTTCTTGTTTCTCCTTTAGAAGTTAAAGGCATATGCAGTGATTCTTCTTGTGCATCTTCTGTAGAAAAATTTAAGCAATAACTGCAACTACTTCTGAACCTAAACGCCTCAACAAGTTATTGTCAACAACGTTCATGTACGTACTCGGTATGTTGCCAAATATTCTATTTACAATCATTAAACCCCCGCAAGAGGCGCTTGCGGGGGTTTTAATAATAGGGATCCATAGTAGGATCTATAGGAAATTAGACGTAGACATCAGTAACACTCAGATGGGATTCAGAAAAGGGCTGGGTACAAGGGAGGCTCTGTTTGCAATGAACGTTCTCTCACAGTGATGCTTAGACATGAACCAAGAAATTTACGCCTGCTTTATTGATTTCGAAAAGGCCTTTGACAAAGTACAACATGAACCACTAAGACAAGTTCCAATAAAGAAAAATATAGACAGCCGAGATATTCGAATTATATGCAATCTATATTGAAATCAAACAGCAAATGTCAAGGTTGAGGGCAGACTAACAGAAGAAATTCAAATCCGTCGAGGAGTCCGGCAGGGATGTATCTTATCGCCACTTTTATTTAATCTGTATAGTGAAGCTATCTGTGAACAAGCACTCGAGGAAGAAGATCTTGGTCTGATAATAAATGGTGAGACGATCAACAATATAAGGTATGCTGACGATACAGTTCTCCTAACGGGAACGCTGGTAGAACTACAACATCTCGTTCAAAGTCTCAATATATACTGTAACAGTTACGGCTTGAAAATTAATTTGAAAAAAACTAAATTTATGGTAATCACGAAATCAAAGAACATCAGAGCTAATCTTGTAATAGACAATACAACGATTGAGCGTGTGCCTGTTATAAATATCTAGGTGCTTGGATCACAGACGATACTGATCAAACAAAAGAGATTAGATGTAGAATAGAAATCGCTAGATCAGTCTTTAATAGAATGCGCAAACTCTTTTGCAATCGTGATATCAATATAAAGTTACGAATACGAATGCTGCGGTGTTATGTCTTTTCTACCCTGTTATATGGAGTTGAGGCTTGGACACTAAAACAGTTGACCATAAAAAAACATCGAAGCTTTCGAGATGTGATGCTATAGGCGCATTCTCAGAATATCATGGATGGACCGCGTCACTAACACGCAAGTACTCCAAACTTTAGACAAAAGATGCGAAATTCTAAATGAGATAAAAACTAGAAAGATGGAATACTTGGGGCACATTGTGAGAGGTGAAAAGTACGAACTTTTAAGAAACATCATGCAGGGCAAAATTAAGGGCAAAAGAAGTGTGGGAAGAAGAAAAATATCGTGGCTTCGTAATCTACGTGAATGGTTCGGGTGTAGTTCGATTGAACTTTTTAGGCGCGCTGCTAACAAAGTCGCAGTGGCCATGATCATTTCCAATCTCCGCTAGGAGTGGCACGAGAAGAAGAAGAAGAGGCGCTTGGTCTACTGATGCAAAACTATTACACAAAATTTATTCGCTTGGTCTAGTAATGCAAAATCTAAAATCCAGAATAAAAAGAAAGCGACTTGGTCTTTTTAAATATATCTGGTTAACTGTTACTAACATATTAATGGGATATAGTTTATGCTATTTCCCACCAGAAAGCGCCATAATCCACAATTTCAGAAAATAACGCTTGGTCTAGTGATGCATAACTCCGTCCTAGATGATTTCTCGTTCATAATTTTCATATCAATCATATTGACGTGAATTCTATTTTATTTTTCAGACTTGCCTACCAAAAGGTGCAGGAACCCTATGCAGATCGGCCGATTACGAATGCGATCTTCCGGAATACTGCACAGGACAGTCCGAATACTGTCCCGAAGATAATTACAAGCTAGATACAGAAGTCTGTGATGACGGTAAAGCTTTCTGTTACCATGGTTTCTGCAGCACCAGATCCGATCAGTGCAAACTACTTTGGGGAGAGACGGGGAAATCCAGCGACGACCAGTGCTACATGATGAACACGAAAGGCACTAGACACGGAAACTGTGGATACGACAAGCTGACGCAGACATTTTTTAAATGCGAAAACGAGTAAGTTTGTAATAGAATCTCAACGTTTATCTAGTTTTACTGTACAATTATATTTTTCGCAGGAGTGTCTTGTGTGGAATGTTACATTGCGAACATCTCAACGAAAAGTTGGAATTCGGCATGGAGTCCGTAGCAATGTTGTCGCACACTTTCATCAACAAAAAGGGATTGATCATTCCTTGTAGAACTGCCATTGTAGATTTAGGAATCAATCAGGTCGATCCAGGTCTTACGCCTGACGGTGCTCTTTGCGGAAAGGGAAAGGTAAGTAGTTTTTATGTGTCTTCTTCTTATAGTGTTGATATTTTTATTCATTATCTAATTATCTCGTAGACTTGAACGGTCAGGTGACAAATCGTCATGAATAAAATCGGGATCTGCTACACTGTCATCATCGTCAAAATCACTACGGTCCTCGGTCATATTTTCTTCATCCGACGAATTTGACTGACTATATTGTTCATTACAGAGACATGGAGATCGTATTGCAGCGACCTATATAAAGATGATCAACGCCAAGAGCTTGTTAGCCAAATCTCTGACGAGGTGTAAGAAGAACCTGATATACTCGAAAATGAAGTAAGACAGGCTATCAACAAGCTCAAATATAACAAAGCACCAGGTCCAGATATGATAGCAGCAGAAATGCTTAAAGCCACAGGAGAAACCGGCGTAAAGTTACTTCATCTACTCTGTAACCAAATATGGCATTCCAAACAATGGCCTGAAGACTGGACAAAATCTGCAATAACGACCATATATAAAAAAGGCAGCTTCCATAAATGCGACAATTCTAGAACTATCTCTCTTATATCCCATGCCAGCAATATAATGCTACATATAATCAATGAGAGACTGAAAACATTCCTTCAAAGAGAAATTCCACAAGAGCAAACTGGATTTACCAAAGGTAGAGGCACTCGAGAACACCTGCTGAATATAAGACAGATATCGAGAAATCTAGAGAATTCGACATCCCACTATACATCTGTTTTATAGATTACCGTAAAGCGTTCGACAGGGTCAAGTGGAGACACTTATGGCGAATACTAAAAGAAGTAGGCGTACCACAACATCTAATTACGCTTATAACCGAACTATATGAACACACTACTGGATCAGTTAAAGTACTTGACACACTTTCGAACGAATTTCAACCAGGGTGTCAGACAAGGATGTATACTATCTCCACAATTGTTCAACATATATGGGGAGTATATTATGCGAAGAGCACTTGAAGGATGGGAAAAGGGCATCTCAATAAATGGTCATAAACTAAACAACCTACGTTTCGCAGATGACACAGCCCAGCCCTTCTTGCAAATACTCAAGCAGAGCTGATAGAACTTATACGACTGATCGAAAGCGAAAGTCAAATATTTGGTCTGCAATTAAACATATCAAAGACAAAGATCATGATAGTGGATAGACTACACAACAATCATCCACACATAACCACAATTGACCGGTTCGAGGTTGTGAGCTCATACTTATATCTGGGATCATTAATCACAAACACAGGGTCATTACAAGAAGAGATTAAACGTAGATGTGATCTAGCAAAAGTTGCCACAGCAAAAATGACCAAAATATGGAAGGACTGCCAAATTTCAAGAGCGATAAAGATGAGGTTGATCAACTGCTTAATATTCCCAATACTGACCTTCGGATGTGAATCTTGGACTCTGAGACAATCGGAGAATAGAAAGATAGACGCCACTGAAATGTTCTGTTGGAGACGAATGTTACGAATTCCTTGGACCGACCGTAGAACAAATAATTCAATTTTAAGAGAGCTAAAAGTTAGCCAACGACTCTCTAGTAAAGTCCATCTCCAACAATTAAAATATTTTGGGCATGTTATGAGAGCAAACACAGAAAACATGGAAAGACTCATAATACAAGGAAAGGTAGAAGGCCGAAGATCACGAGGAAGATCCCCAACAAGATGGATAGATCAAATTACAGGAATATGCCAAAGACCTATGCATGAATTAAAAGAAATGACCAGAGACAGAGATCTCTGGAGACGGACAATACACGACATCACGTCGACCACTACACTCCCCCTAGGGGTCAGGATTGAAGAGAGAGAGAGAGAGAGAGATTGTTCATTATCACCCTCTTCTAATATTCTCCGCAACTCTTCTTCCGAATAGCCTCGTCTCTTACTCATATTGCAGCAGCAACAATCTCAATTCGCAAAAAGCACAAAAAATACAAACACGTCTGTTTTGTTTTGATTTTCGACTAATTACATAAACGTCATTTGTCAATCCAGTAGCTATTTCACGTATTTTGTTGTCTTGGAACATAAAGAAGACCTAAGTTTATCGTAATTGATGATTTGTCTATGCCATTTATTAAATACATGGAAATAAGGGATAAAATGAGAAAAATACGCACATACCACATATGGTCTGTGGACTCACGATACAACTTTTGGTCATTTTTATTCTATAAAGTCCAAAGACCATAATTATGTGGTATGCTTTAACACAAATATTTTAATTACATTTTTATATATTTTACAACATTATTGATTTATTTATAGCCAGAAGTTATAATTTTTACAAAAACATAGCTGGACGTATGAGCAATTTCCACTCAAAAACCTGGACAATGAACCTGTTATATCGGAATCGGATTTTTGGTATATTCCACTGTAACGTCGATATTTGATAACATCTAGTACATACATTTAATTCAAGGTCAGGTTAGCTCATGTCGGAGAGAAGGTGTGGTAAGGTCAAATGCACAAAAAAACTACGTAGTATGTCAAAATTTCAAACACAATTAGATAACATGAAATTATAATTTATCATTGGACGCCACCCCTTGTTTATCCTCGTAGGGGACGAGAGAGAATAAAAAAAATAAGATATATAAAAAAAATTTACAGCGAAATTACACTTTATTATTTCTCAGTAATAAAAAGAAACATTAAAAGTTATGTTATTTCCAAAGGATACTAAAATACCATTTCATAATTACATTACTATAAACAAAGCAACTTTCTATCTTTTTAAATCAAGAATTGGTTGATAAAAACAAATGAATTTATATATTATTCCCAAATTTCGAAATTCGTTTACATTTAAAATATTATAGTAGTTATTTATTAACTGGCAACATAGAAAAGTTAAATCTATTTATTAACTAGGCATAATAGAAAAGTTAAGTCTTTAAACAAAATTTAAAATATTTCACTATATTCTTGTCTCTGTGAATCCATAAATAATTCTCGCGTTCCTGATAGGGCTTAATAAAAAAAATAGATACAACCTTATTTATCCAATCTCTGGGAACCAGGAAAAAAGGGATATACTCTGCTTCTTCTCATCCGTTGGTTATTTCATCAAATATTTACTAATAGGAATCCATTTATATTATAAGTAATTATTGGAAACCATATATAGGGAAGTATTGGACCATAGGGAACTGTCTCAGTTAACTTAACATGATCAATGAACTTTAACCTCCCGGAAAGAGTCTGAAAATAATTATTCATCTAAAATATAAACAAGAAAAGGCTTTTCTTTGTAGCTTACCTCTAATCTAGAGACTCACTTCTAAAGCACGTCCTATCGGGTGGACGTTTGTAACAGGAAAGGAAGCGACGCTATTTCAACGGTTTTGAATTGGGGGCGTGATTGACAAGTTAATATCGTTCTCATCTATCGGATATGTTGAGAATTACCGTAGAAACCTTGAGTCGAATACAAGCACCTGGCAGATAGGTGGGGTTAGTAGTTTTATTTAAAAAAAAAATAATCAAATTTATAATGAATTTTCTAAAACTTTTGAAACGGTTACACCACTGAACGACCTGTTCCATATTTGCAACTACTGCTTTAAATATATCCACGCACTTTTCTAAACTGCAGGTTTCTAAAAAACCACTTAAATGTATTTAACGTAATCAATATTTTCAGATGTGCGTCAACCAAAAATGCATGTCAGTCTCGAGCTTAAGAAAACAAGGCCCCCACTGCCCCGACGACTGCAACGGCAACGGATGGTGCAACAACAAAGGTCACTGCCACTGCAAAGACGGCTTCGCTCCACCTACCTGCGATTATCCCGGACCAGGCGGCTCACTGGACAGCGGTCCCGCTGCGGATCCTAATGGTCAGTATCTTAAGAAAAAGATTTGTGAGGTCACTAACAAAGCTGCCGAAAAGTACTTCCGATCTGGCATCAATGTTAAATGTCTCATTCCGTTTTGTTGTCCGCCAGAACATCCTATTAAAAATCTTATTACAAAGGATTTATGAAAGTTAAGAAGTTGACGTTAAGAAATATAACTATTTCTTAACGTGGGTCTTTTCTCAAAAATACTCATTTAATTTGTATATTAATTTTATATTATTTTTTTGCTTGTTAGCTTCAAACGAGTTTTAAAAAGACAATTTTATTATTATTTTTAGTAATATTTAGAGTAATTTTAAAAGACATTCACTATTAGTCAATGTTGTACGCCTTTTTCCAATTTTAATTTAACTTGTTACAATCTGAGCATTTTTAGTTAACTGCTATTGTTATATCGAAATATGTTGTTCTGCATAGAGTCCCACATTGTTATTAATTTTGATAAGACAATCTAACTTCCATTACAAGAAGAAAAGACTCGAAAATTATGAGAGGGAGCTCTCAAGTAAGTTTTTCTATCGAGTTAAGACAGGAATCTATTCTAAAAATAGCAGTTTGGCTCAACGCACTCTAAAAATCTCGCTAAAGAATCCACTAGTGCCATTACCAGCTGAAGTATATGTATTCACCATAACCAGCTAGAAGAACTTAATCGCTAAGAGATGAGGGTTTCAATTCTTGTGTTCTCATCAGATATTTCTTTTATTTTAAAGTAGTGTGACAGTAATCTAGTTATTCGGAATATAAGATCATTGCAGGTGTTACTTGATCCATTCATCACACCTTGACACCAGTTATAGCTATACCAATAATCTCAGTACTCATGATTTGCCACAAAACATCAACCCTGCCTCTCATAGAGACTTCAAAACCTCCACATGTATTCCATCAGGTCTACGCCTTACCATTCTTCATTATTTAAAGCTCAACTTCATACCTTATCTCCGGTATTGCATTCTCCCGTCTCGACAACCTCCATATCCCGGATTTGGGGTCCCGCATCCTCATGATTGATGCGGGAAAAAAACAAGAGACAAGTCATTGATGACTTGTTTTAGCAACCTTTTCATCCCCTCGAATGTTTCCAACTCTTCATGCAGCTTTGCTGACATCCTTCCTAGCAGTAGCTACAGCGAGTTTGCTTTCCTCTTTGCTACCTTGTATATATAATTTTCTTCACATCTTTTAGTCCTGGCCTATTTTTTTCTTCTACCTAACCTTCTGTTGCACTTCATCGCTTCATCACCAAGTTTCTTTTTCCGTGGGACAAAGATTTTTACCTTTACCAAATGTTTTTCCTAGCAATATAATTTCGTATATCGTATCGAATTAAATTCATTCTTATGCTCACAATTAACTTCTCTACACTCCTGTTTAACTTATAAAGGTGATTGACTTGAGGGGTGAAAATCTATTTACAACTCTAGAAATTTGTTGCTGTTAAAAAGTGACACTTTCTACCATGTCCAGAGGCTTAATCTTTGGTAGACTAGTGGAGTTTATAATTAATTACCAAATTTCTATTCTTTTGAATAATGTTTTCGTTTGTTACTCTGACCTTTAGCTCCAATATCCCGAGATCTTGCCTACTGCAATAGATGAAACTTTTATACACAGAGGGAGCCGATAACCTAACTTTTAAACAGTTTTATTGCGAGTCACTCGCTCACGCTCACGAGTTGTAGCTGTTTAAATAATTATTGGTTACAATATTTTCAACTGAAACACAATCTGCTATTATGGTAGTCTACAAGGTATTCCTGTGAAAGGTTCTCCAGTTTTTGGTGAATTTGGGTGAATGGCAGAGCAGTGATTACGGCCAAAGCGGATAAGGCGTCATAAGTAAAAGAATAAGAGGTCAAGTGAGTAAGTGCGAAAACTACTACCTCCTCAAAATATTAATAATATCATATAAATGATTTTTTGGTTGAATTTTCTTCAGTTCTCTCTAGATGTAGGCTCACCAGGCTGGAAAGATTCGAAATAAACATCAAATTCCTCAAATATATCAAAATAAGATATCTATTGTTGTACATGTCTTATTTTTAATATGTGTAGTGGAGAAATGTTTACCCAAATTTGTTTGCATTTAACTCACTTCTTATGTTCTAATATAACAATAATAGTTAATAATAATTTAAGTACAAAATTGTCTCTAACTTTTAATGTTTACATTTAATATGCTTTTTCTGCTTGTTTTTACTAACAATACGCATTTTTGTGACTTCATTAAATGTTTAAAAAATATAATTCAAATCTTTTCCTTTTTTTTTCAGTTAACAAAGAGCTCTCCTGGTTTCTTTATATTTAACAAAGCATTGTTTTCTGTTGTAGATCAAAATGCCTTAAAGCTTATACTTATTTATTTCTTTAGCGTAAAATGTACCACGAAGATGTTACCAAAATCAAAGTACACCGACTGGATGTCGATTTCTATACGTCAAACTTTTCAGGCTGATGTCTTCACAATTTTAGGCTTGCTTTGATCTGATAGGTATCTCCAAATTTCCTGAAAGAGTTAGCTCCAAGGTCAACTTGGTGTGGGTACTGGTACACAGGTGTACAGTTGAATTACCGGGTTGGTGACTGTCCTGCACTGCATATACGGTATCCAAATTTTCATAAGTATCTTTTGCACATGTCGAGCACAAAATTTAGCTATTCGTCGTAGTATGAAGTAAAGAAATACAGTTGCGAGACACGGATTATAATGTTTGTCCGTTGCGACTGCTGGTTTAAATATTTCTTTGTATTCTAAGCAAGTGTTTTGGGATTAAAATTAATAATTTTCCCACAGGCATGTGGTTCTCAGTCTGTAGCTTTTATAAAATATGAATAGAGTGCCAATTTTAATATGGGAAATTTAAAGAAGATAACAACAATGATAATGAAGATAAACAATTAAATAAATAGTTAAATAAGGTCATAATATGGCCGTTTTAAGAATAATTAAATATTTAACTAAGCACTAAGTGGAATGTCCATTGGGTATCTCCATACCGTTCCATCTTCATTTATTTAATGTTAAATTTAAAGTTAAAAGGAATTTTGAGGAATCTTAATTACCATACATTAAATCCGAGTGAAGAACCCGGAAAATACGGAACAATGAAGGAAAGCTGAAATATTTTATGTAATTTTAATAAATCTTCCTAGTTCTTGTGTTTTATTTTATGCGTCCATCGTTGAAGCAACTTTTTGCTATGAATATAAAAGCCATTACAACAATAAATAAATACATAAACAACAATATGCGAAGCAAACACTTTGTAACGCAATGTTTTAAGAGTTTTGGATCACCCTGTACAACAAACGATTTGAAATAATAGTTAACAAATGTAAACAGTCAAAAAGTCAAGAAATATATAATAACTAAATAGATAAACAACACAATGAAGAGTTAACATGTTTTAAGAGTTATTGTGTCACCCTGTACAACCAAAAGTTCCAAATAATATTCAACGAGTCTACACCATTAAAAAGTTCCTAAAAGTTAAAAAAATCCCTTTTAAAAATATAACACATTAATATCTATTTGTCAATAAACTATTAACCGTAAGTGTTTTATTAGGCTTTTTGCTTAAAGGTAACCAGAACTTTAAAAACGCTCTCTATAAAATATTAAAATGCTAAATTATCAGAATATAAAAAAAAACAAACACAAATTTTACAATAGTAAACAGAATTCTTCAATAATAAAAATACTAAGTGTTATTATTCCAACTTTTGGAAATCCCTGTATACCGGACAACAGAAAATACCGAATCCGGTGTATAAGTAAACCACTCTGTATAAATAAAATTTGAAATTTGCAAAAATATCAAAAAAAATATATAAAAATTTATCAAAACATTTTCGCCCTTATCTAAGGACAATGACATATTGAGACTCCACTTAAAACGAGGTAAGCCTATAGGTATGTTGCGGATACACTGAACGGAAACCAATTACAGTCCATTCTACTGGGAAAATTAAGTTAGAGGTACGCAATTTGAGTTTGTCTTCGAACTACCGCTGTCTAATGAGCTCCAATAATACAAAACATTTCATGGTTGAACACGAACACAGCCACCTTTACTTCCAAGCCATGAAGTAAAAAAGGCAACACCGCATTCTATGACGTCGGTAGTCCGATAATCAGCTGTAAGGTCTACCTAATTAAACGAATTTGAATTTTAGGAAACTGATATTTTGAAAACTTCAATTCATTACAGAAATATTTTTAGGGAAATTAAATGAATAAAACCTTATATTTACATAAAGTTTTATTATAATTTAGGTTATATTATCAATAAAATAATCACTAGAGTAAAATTTATTGCACTTAAAATACAGTGTCAAACAGTTAATCTTACAATCAAATGCAGTCAAGAATCTCTAGAAATTTTAAATATTAAGTACTTAAGCATATAAATAACACAATACATTAACACGACATTTAAAAAGATTATTAAAAATACAAGACATAAAATTTGTTCAGTAAAAACTTTGTTTTAAATTTGTTCTAAAAAACAGTGTAACTATTATGATTAAAAAATTCATCCTAAGAAATCAGACACAATATAAATATGGTTCTAAATTAATCTAATTCAAAATTAAATATTTTACTATTTACTTATAACTTTTGTTGAATTTTCATACTTAGGTATACGAAAGTAGCAATTTTAAATAGGTATGAATAGGTTTTTTGTCATATAGACCAAGTTAAGAGAGGTATTACATGAAAAATGTGTTGAATGTAACATACCATTTATAACTTGTATATCGATTTAAAATAGCCTATATTCTCAAAAGATTTTTGAATGTAGTACTCAAATTTGTTATCACTTATCTAAAAAGCAGATATAAATGACAAAGTAAGTTCTCTAATTGTGACCATCTTGTTAATTAACTATATTGTAAAATCCATTTCAAATCATTACTACTTAATCTATTTTTACCTACATTGACGATTACACTAAAATTACTGCTAACTATTACACTATGTATTACACAAATATTATCACACTTGTGTCCCAACTGATTAATGTTTAATACATAGAAATATACACAGTCACTTGTAATTTTACTTGTCCAGTTTTTTCAATGGGATATTATTGTCTAAGTCTAATTGTCATAATTATTTTCTCTTGTTCCCTCTTCTTATGCAAAAAGTTTCTTCTGTCTTCGGGATTCCTTCTTTCTTTAGTACGATGAACAGTTACATATGATGGTACTTCAGGAAATATATTAGGAACTGCATTGTCTTTTAATTTGGGAAATATTAACTTTTCAATGTGTACATTTCCATCTTTATCTTCTAATTGTTCAGTCCGCTGAATATCATCTTCATGAAAATGTTTGGCACATACTACGGAAGATTTGGTAATTGTATAGCCTTCTCTATGAATAGAGCATAACCCAGTATACCTTCTTTGGGGATCTTTGGGAAACGAAAACGTACTTTTCTACCTGTTTCGTTTTTAAAGTACTGGCATAATTGGTTTTGCAACCAGGTACATTGCCAGGGCATCTGTAACAAAAAACAAAAGTATTATTATTGTTGATTTTATTTTACATATTTTGTAACAAGAAGCAAAAGTATTATTATTTTCAGTTTGTTTTGTAGGTTATATTTATACTTGCCTTTTAAATTGTCGTTAAGAATCTTCTAAAAGTTCTAAACTTAATGAAATTTCACTTATATTAATATTTTCTAATTGATTTAAACACAATTTACAAATAAAACATTCGAATAAAGTTTAAAAAACACTAAATTCAACAAACTTTTCAAGCCTTCCTATATGAAATGTTAAACAAAACAAACCACGATCGGACTACCACACGTTGTTGCCAAATTTCTACTTCATGGCTTGGAAGTAAAGGTGGCTGTGGTATAGCCTTCTCTATGAATAGAGCATAACCCAGTATACCTTCTTTGGGGATCTTTGGGAAACGAAAACGTACTTTCTGCCTGTTTCGTTTTTAAAGTACTGGCATAATTGGTTTTGCAACCAGGTACACACAATGCCAGAGCATCTGTAACAAAAAACAAAAGTATTATTATTGTTGTTTTTAGTTTACATATTTTGTAACAAGAAGCAAAAGTATTATTATTTTCAGTTTGTTTTGTAGGTTATATTTATACTTGCCTTTTAAATTGTCGTTAAGAATCTTCTAAAAGTTCTAAACTTAATGAAATTTCACTTATATTAATATTTTCTAATTAATTTAAACACAATTTACAAATAAAACATTCGAATAAAGTTAAAAAACACTAAATTCAACAAACTTTACAAGCCTTCCTATATGAAATTTTAAACAAAACAAACCACGGTCGGACTACCACGCGTTGTTGCCAAATTTCTACTTCATGGCTTGGAAGTAAAGGTGGCTGTGACACGAACTTTTAGACAAGAAGCACCTCTAGATGCGTAGTATGCCATACTTTATAACCTCTTTAATAAAAATACTCTTTTTGCGTAATTGCCGCCACAATTGACAGATCACACCCCCCGAGAATAAAAAAATAAGGCATTTTTAAGTAAAAAAATATTACTTTTGTATAATTGTCCATAATAAAGTGTTTTTGTCTGTCCGGCCACGTCGCGTAGCACTTATCGGGATTAGATGAACTTACTAATATATGTTTACATGTCATTCCGATAACTTCCACTATAGTAAATTTACCTACAAAGTTGTTCGTTACCTTAATATTTAATCATACCAGGATGATTACGTTTTGCCACCCGTGATCCATTTATGAATCAATACAAATATTTATCTTCACTTCCCATTGTAACTTGTTACATAATATAGACTTGTAGTCGAAAATTACACATTTGAATTTATTGAAATGTGTCTTCAGTGGATTAAAGAGATTGCCATCTCGGAATCAAAATGGGTCTTATCGAGCGACGAGAGGTGGATTAAAAGAGTTGTACTTCAGCGCAAATTCATAAAGGTTTTTAGTTAATACGTTCCGGAAATCTGCAGTATCATACGGCGTCGTGAAAAGCTGATATTCTGAGTTTAAATGTGATACAGAGTCTGGATAGACGAACGAGCAGGTAGAGCATCACAATCTCTACTACAAAAGTAAGAGTTTAAAAGGTTCAATGATCAGTGTCTATTGAATATTGAATTGTATAATACACTTCCTGCTAAATTAAACATGAAAAAATTGTCTACAACATGGATATTGTGAATGCCAACCACAAGGAAACTCGAACAGACATTTGCAGTCTTCTGTTAGCGTTGTACAGACAAACGTTCAACGAGTGACAATTCCGATGTAATCGGTATAGGCGGCAATTTTTAGTGATTTATTTGTTAGGAGATTACCTTTCTTTATTCAACTGTCTTATCACATATTTGAAAGACAGGCCTTACTTTATTCCTTTGACTATTGAAACTTTCTCAGTAGTTTATTGTACATTCTGATAGTTGTTGTTGACAAATCAACATGTGCTTTGTTGCTTTTACTATTCGGATGTATTGTAGGGTAATATTAAAGCGATGTAATTTTAGTATATACCTTTCAAACCGGACTATGCTATTTTTAGTATTAATATTTGATGTTATTTTTACAGTATAATTATGTGTTCTCTTTTTTAGCTCGTCAAGGCATAGTAGCAGCCATCTTCATAATCTTCCTGGGAATAGTGCCCCTGGTAGCGATATCTGCATTCCTCCTGTACTACGTTCGACACAACCTCCACTTCGGCCGCCGAAAATCAGCTCCCTCAACGTATGTACCCAAATGGATACAGCATGCTTTTAGTGGTGTTGGTAGACCTTGTAAAAACCCCACCCCCATCCCTACCGTTTCCATGAACGTCCCTCACGATACTAATAGACCTCGCCCCGATATAGAAATTAGCGGTTTGATATCAACTACTAACCAAGATTTTATCGTTAGGAGTAATACTATTAACAAATATCCTAATAACGTTGAAAGTAGTGGTCCTAAACATGAACCTAAACCTGAAAGGAGACTGTCTATAAAAAATATTAAACATTTAAAATTGAATACAAATATTTCGCCTAAAAAAAGTAAAGGGGCGGTTCCGAAAAGTCCTGGAACATGTGAGACTGTAGTTTATGATGACACGCCTGTAGTGTCAGTTAAAGATATGGCGAAACGGCTAGACAGTAGTCGAAATTTTGGGCCATCTAAAAGTTAGTCTTAGTAAATTTGATAGATCTAGAATCTAGAATAAGGTGTAATTTTTGCTCATACCGAATATTAGACGATCTCATTTACGTTTTAATTTGAAATATCTGTCTTACACTATAATGAATTTGGAACACAGTCTCATAACACAAAAATACTGTTTGTTTAAAGAATTTCTGTCATTCATTCATACATATCATCAATGTACCGTACCTCTTCTGCAAAATTTTCAGAATAAATCAATAATCACTTCTTATAACTGTCAGAAAATAAAAAATAGTACAGGTGAAATAAAGGTCCTCCATTGCATTTAGTCCCAAATTTACCGACTTTTGTATACATTTTACCTCATAGAATGGTTTAAAAATAGTTTATTTTAAAGTCAATTATTTTTTCCTTAAATTTTAGAGTCAATACAATGGAGCGAACTCATCAAAGGTAACCGCCACTTCTACTTTTTTGGTACTGCTACTAAATCGAGTCTAGGTCATATAACCTTCAAAAATATCCTTGAAACGAACGTTCTTCTTTAGGTGTAATCTCCGCGACGAAGGTTGGCAATCATCATGGCTATTCTGACCTTCGAGGCAGCTGCTCTGAACAATTGCCTTGAGCTGCAACCAAACCACTCTCTCAGGTTCTTCAACCAGGAAACGCGTCTTCTTCCTACGCTTCCCCTACCTGCTAATTTTTCGTGAATTATGAGTCTCAAGTTGTTGAATCTTTCTCATTATCTATGAAGTCTAAACGAACGTTACTGTCTTCTAATCGTTATACAAGTTTAAATGAATTTTAATTTTGGTAAATTTGGGAGTGAATACACTGTTATCGAGTCATCTAAAGGAACCACGTCTTTTTATTCCACCTCTACTTTTGTGGTACTAGTTATTGAATCAGGTCTGGCACATTTGATCTTCAAAATATCGTTGCTAATGAATGTTCCTGTCTTATATATTGGGTACTGGTTTTTTTATAACACTATTCGTGTTTTTTATTCTATTCTAATTATCTACAAGCAAAGGTTATGTTGTCGTTAATCATTTTGAAATATACCAGCTACAGGTACACTATAATTGTTATTTTCATAAAATACTAACATAATAATTTATTTTAAACCGTTGTATGAGGTAAAACGAATTATTAGAATATATGTAAATTTGGGAGTGAATACAATGGAGCCGAGTCATCAAAAAGAACCATATCTTTTTACCCCATATCTACTGTTTTGGTACTGGTTATTAATCAATTGGTTGAGTGACATTTAACTTTCAAAAATGCTGTCGGGACAAATAGTAATGTCATTAGCTACAGTACATTCAACCAACTTACCCCTCTAAACGAATAATGTAATTCGCAGAAAACCTTTCGTTGTAGTAAAAGGCACGGTAAACTGCACTGAAGTTCTCCATAATCTTTTTAATTACTTACTTTGTTTAGAATATTTTTGTCTGTATTATCGGTTAGATTTAGATTTGTATAAAATGAGGAGCAAAAATTCAAATGGAATTTTAAATATTATTGTTTATTTGGTTAATAATAAATATATAAATATATTGGTTAACCTTCAGTACAATTATTTTGTAAATAATATAATAGTATACTTACTGATAATTTAAATTTACAGATCATCATGATCGTCACTAAATTCACTACCGCCAGAGAATAATAAACAATCAGAATGTCCACTCTCCATGGAAAATTAACTACGCGCATCTCGTTCACGCAGACGTTCCGCCATGTTTTAAAGGGAACCAGTGTTGTTTATGGGGTGTGCATAAAAAAATTAACCCGGTTTAATTGACTTACGGCAATCATAGACATACTATACAATTACATAACCTCACAAATCATATGTCTGTGTTATGTATTTCCTTCTAAAACATGGCGCGCGTGCTGAAAAACTTCAAAGGCGGCATCTGAGAGTGAGCATTCTGATTGTTTATTATTTTGTGCTACCGCTATCAATACGTAAATCTATAATCACTGGATTAATTTCACTAATTTTATTTTCCCGGTTTCACCACTCTTCTAATAATTTTTCACATTTATTTATAGTTTTGGCCCATATTTCTGGAGTTGCAGTTTTAAGAGCTTCTTACCACATTTCCCTAACTGCATCGTCACTATATCCACTGCATCCAACGTGATTATCATAATATTTTTTACATATACCCCAGATGTGTTCGATGGGATTAAACTGGCAGTGATACGGCAGCAACCGTAGTACTTGATATCCATAACTTGATACAATTTTGTCAACTATATAAACTGTTGGTTTTTCATTACCTACGTTTTGAAATTTCCAGTTACTCTGTTTTGAAGGCGTATTCCAGCAAATTGATATTATTTTTAACTAACCAATTTTTTATGCTCGGTACGTTTGACGACTGTTTTGGTTGTTTCTCCATAATCTCCGAATGGTAAGGTGAATTATCTAAAACTATAACATGGTTCACTCAGACTAGGTAACAGTTTTCTCCTCAAGCCATTTAGCAGACTTGTCTGCATTCATGTTTTCGTTTTCGTGGTAATCAGCAGATTTTGATTTTGAAGAAAAAATCAAATCTGCATTTTCTATAAAGCCTTCTTTCCCTCCTGCATGAAGAATGAAGTGTCTTTTGCATTCCCTATCTGTGTGTTTTATTGATTTTATGCTGTCGTCTTGCCAAATTCTTTTAATTCCACCACAATAATTAAACAAGTTGGTGAAAGAAATTTTTGTTAAATAACAATACAAGAATACAATTTATTAAAAAAAAATGTAACAAAATATGCAAAACTATGAACAACGGGTTAATACCACATATATTTATTTTATACCTAAAATTTAGCAAAGTGTGAAACATTATGGAGAACACCAGTGCAGTTGGTTGAATCTACTGTATATTGTAATACTATTCATGTTTTTTATTCTGGGAAAGGTAGAAGATAATATAATGATTTAGGCATTCTAAAATTTGGGATAGAGGTGTGGTATATAGATGATATTTATGAAAATTATTTCAACGAAATAATTTTATCAATCTAAATTAGAAAATACTTTCTATATCGGGACTATTTTTATATTATTGAATTTTTAATATGATTTGTAATGTTTAAATTTTTCTATCTGGCATATTTGAATCATGTGATGAGTACCAAGACCTAACTATAGCTTGGTAACACTGTACCACCGTAAATTTGTGTACAATTAAAATTGCTGAATGCTCATATAACATTAGGTAACCTATAAACTGGTTTAATTAGATACAGTTCTTGACTATAAACTCATATTTTTTTTTTATATTAATATCAATATTGTGGTATTATGACAGCGTAATAGGTATCCTTCTAATATTAGAGATTCTAACAGTTTTTTTCGAGAACAGAAGGAACCTTAAAGCACATAAAATTTATAGCATTTCGTAAAAGTACTCGAAAAAGCTAATAATTACCCAGAGTAACTGGAGTAAGTCTACCAATCAAAGCTCTTCAAAGAAAAAGAGGTAGACGTGACAATCGGTAACTTAAATCCAGGTAAAGCTTCAAATTTTACCACCAAGCAACATTTATTGGGTGCTATATTGTAATTCTAAATAGATCCTGGATGGGAAGAAGGATAGTGAGGAAGCCCTGAAGTTCGGTAGAAGGGTAAGATAAAAATTGACCCAAAGGGATGTTTAATATTGGAAAATAAGTTGGGCGAAGAATTTCAGGTCCAAGTTGGTTGTTTGAAGAATACAACGATGAGCTTTGGGACGTGGGTCTTTTCTTCTTTCAGTACGCTTTCCGATTATCGAACGTTGGCGATCATATTGGCAATAATAACTTTGTTTACGGCGGTTCTAAATAAATTAAAGGTGGTTTCTTGATACCATTCTCGGAGATTTCGTAGCCAGGATGTTCTTCGTCGGCCTGGGCCTCTCCTTCCGTCGACCTTACCCTGTATTATGATGTGTAGAAGGTTATATCTCTCTGGATTTCTCATTACATGACCGAAATATTGTAACTTCCGCATTTTTATCGTTTTTGTTATTTCTGTGCTCATTTTCATTCGATGTAAAACTATTTCATTTTTTTATTCGATTAACCCAACTTATCCGCAATACTCGTCGATAAATCCACATCTCAAAGGCCTCTAATCTTTTCACTAATGTCTTTTCATTAATGGAGAGCTGGTCCAGCTCTCCATTAATGTGATTAATCTATTAATGTATTAATCTGATTTTAAGTTTTAACGTAATATCTCTATTAATTAGAATTTTTCTTTAATTTATAGAAGGCAGCTCTGGCTTTTTCAATGCGTATTCTTATTTATTTATTTATATCCCAGTTATCGTTAACGTTTGCGCACAAATAGGTAAGATTGTGGATTCTTTCTTACTCTATTCCATACACTCTGATGATCGTTGGTTGTAACTCTGTTTTGCTGACAACCATAAGTTTTGTGTGAAAAGTTAAGTTTAGCCCATATTCGGCATGCTTCAGTTACCCTATTTATAAGTCGTTGCAGGTCTTCTTCATTGGAGGCAATAACTACCGTGTCGTCTGCATATCTGAGATTGTTGATATTAATTCCGTTGATTTTAATGCCT